GAAAACTTCACAATCAGCAAATAATTCTTTATAATGGAAAAGCTTTTGCTTTAACATCACCTTGCGATACAAGATGGAATAGTTTTTATAACAGTTTTCATAGTATTTTAAAATCCAAAGAAGCACTGATGGTAATATTAATTTTTTTTATTACTAAATTATTTAATATTTATTAATTATAAAGTGCATTTTAATATATAATAACATATTTCGATAATTATTATAAATACTAGTAACTAATATAGAAAATTCAACTAATTTGGATGATAAAAAATTTCAATCTGACATAGTTGAAATTATAAATGATTCTACATTTTGGAATGATTTAAAGGAGTTAAATAATATTCTTTTTCTATTTTACACTATACTTAATCAACTTTAGCATGATTCAGCATGCTTATATGATATTATATATGCATATGCATAGATAGTAGATACAATTCAAAAAAAGTCTGATTCACTTTTTTGTTCACATATGTTGTTACGTTTAGAGAGATGATGGGTCCAGTGGGAACAGCCATTTCTTATATTGTTTTGGCTACTTCATTCAAACTATAGTTTGAAAAACCTTAATGTTCATTTAAACAGTTTATCAGCACCAATACTAGAAAAATGGATAGTTTATTACTATATGTAATGGTTTTCTGTAAGGCTCAAAAATATTTTATCTGAGCTTGAAGACTTTTTGGCAAGCAATTTGCCATTTGACACAATATCCTTCAACTAATTTCATGGTAATATAATTAAATATTGGACTTTTATTGAACATGAAACTTATAAAAAGCTAGCAAATTTAGCACTTCATTTATTTGGAATTTGCATTAATAGTGCTCCAGTTGAAAGATTATTTTCAACTATGGGATTTCTATATAGCAAATGCAGAAATAAGCTTGGGGTATGTTACTAGCATATTTGATTCAATTAGAATTTTAATTGCAGTTTTGATAGTATTTGATTTCTATAAGCGAAGAATTTTTTTTTTAAAGAAAGATATTTAAAAACAATTATTTGAGTTGTGAAAAATATACAAATAAAAATATACAAGTTGTAGTTAATAAGGTATGTTTGTGATTTTTTAAAATTCGGTAATTCAATTTAAAGCAATTAAATAGAATATACGATTAAATAAATTTCTTTTATTAATAGCTCAAAAAAGTTGGTAATAAATTTTCTGCAATCTAGTTAGAAATTACTATAATATTTAAATTCGTTCTTTTTCAAAAATAATTAAATTAATATAAGTTATATATTAATAAATTTTTTATAAAATTAAATGCAAGTATCAAATATAACAACAGATAAAGATATATGATTTATTTGAGTGTCGGCAAGAAAAAACCCACAATTCTAAAAATAGATTATTATAAAGATTTATAATAATCTATTTTTAAAATTGTAGGTTTTCTTTTGGTGATACTCATTTGTAATAGGTTCTTAAAAAATAAATTATTAGACATATTCAAATTGTAACTTTGCAATTCTTCTTTAGTTTAGTATCAAATATATAATTCTCAGAAAATAATTCAAAATAGACAAGTTAAAATATGAATATTGATAATCACATCAAAGAATCTTAAGCAAGTAATCCTGGCTGATAACTAAAAAGAAATCGGCTAAGCTGATTTTTAATTTGGTACGATAATTTTTAAATATCAGAAATTGTTATAAATATGAGTGTATTTAATTCAGAAATTTTTTGAATATTAATAAAGCATCTTGCTCTTTATTTTATATATTAAAAACGAATCAGATTTTGATTTACAAAACTATAAATAGGGCAAAAGCAAAAAAATTCTAGTAGTGACAGGATATGCACATTATCAGATTCGATATTATTATTTAATAATTGTAAAAAAAAAAATTATAAACATGACTTTAGGTATTGGTTGGTCATGACAATTGTATGCGAGTGTGGAGTGTATAATATAAAAGGCAGAGCTTATTTAATTTTCAAGATTTATTATCCCTTAAACCATATTCCAGACAAATTTGCCTGAAATTTTAAAAAGTATTTATAATTTTTTAAATAAAATTAAAAATTATTAATAATATGGAGTATATTTTATATATACAATATTTTA